GGTAAATTTATAATATTTTATGGTTTCTTTGGTGATTAAATAAATATTTGACTAATGATGGTAATTTTATAATATTTAAAGGAAGAGGATGTATGGGGTGCAATTTCCTCTTTGGTTACCTTCTAACAAATGCAAATGGTGGCTTAAAACCAAATGAGATTTGGGGTATTCAACTACAATGGAGTCAGGCCTATATAGCGTAGGGTAAATTACAAAAAAAAAAAAAAAAAATAACTAGCTTGCTAATAAAATCATTACATTTTCAAAAATTACAATTATATACACCACTTTTAAAGTTTGCAAAAAATGTACAACACTTTCCTTAATGCTGACAATTTCATGCTCAGGGCCTAATTTCGAGTTTTTATTGCTGACGTGGAGATTTTTTTGCTGATGTTGCAAAAAAAAATAAACACTGTTGGGACTGGGATTCAAACTTGTGTCCTCATGACTGTATGTGGGCATTATAACCACTACACCAATACAAGTTGTATGTCTAATTTAATACCGTTAAGTATATATATACATATATCGTATACACAATTTAAGTTTAAAAATAATGTAAATTATGTTTCATTATATTAATAAGATATAAAATTATAATAAAATAAATTATATATTTTAAATGAAGAAAATAAATTAAAATAAAGTAAGATAAAATATATTATAGTAGAGTACATTAAATTAAATTAAATTTAAATTATTTATATATTTTATTTATTAAAATAAAACTAGTTAAATAAATTTGGAAATAAAAGATAATTGCCTTGTTTGGTAGTTAGCGGTTAGCTGTTAGCTGATTGTAATAGCTTTTTTGACCAGCGGATTATGTCAGCTATTTTGACCAACGAAATGTAATAGCGGTTTTCAAAAATGTTTGGTAAAAGTAGTTATTGATTCATAAAAATATATTTTGTATTATTAACTTGAAAATAAATTTGATATAAATAAACATTGGTTATATTCGTTTAACTATTTTAATATTAACAAAAATTATTATTAATATAATAAGTATTTTCAAATTATTTTTTAATATTTTTTATATTAAAAGTAATAAGATAAATAATATAAAAATTAAACTTACAAATAAATTATTTCAGAATACTAATATAATGTTTACAAAATTAATATCATGTAATATTCTTATTGTTATCATAAATGATTCTATCAAAAAATACATGCGTATATTATGTTAAATAACAAAGGTTAAAAACTAGATCATTCACACCACTGAATGCAATTGTTTTGTTGATATTTTAATAGTAAAAAAATAGAGGTTACAAATGAAACATCCACAGCACACGAATGCTATTGCTTTGTTGATTTTTTTAATATTAAAAAAGAAGACCATCATCTACTCTCATGATTAGTTAGAACAAAAAAACAAAAAAAAAAAAATGAAAAATTATCCAATACGCTGTTACAAAACGCTCATATCCTTAACGTTATTATTTTTACCTTATTACCCCAATCAGTTAAAGCAAAAAGCCATTTAACCAAACACTAATTTTAGCTATTTTGACCAAATAAAAAAGCTGAACTCCCTAAAAAGCTAATTTCTTCTCAAAACGCTATTAAACAAACACGGCCAATAATGATAAAATCATATTAAGAAATAAACTAGATTAAAGTACATAATTTAAAATAAAATAAAAATAATATAATATAATATAATAAAGTATAAAAAATAGTAAAGTAAAATAAAACAAATGAAATAATAAATCAAATAACTTATTGTGAAATAAAAGATTAAAATAAATAAAAAACTTAAATTAATATAATAAAATAAAAATATTATTCATTAATATTATAAATGAAAATATTTATTATAATACTCTCAAAGCCTAGTCCTGTCCACAAGACCGGGCCAATGGCATCGACAACTTCCCACAGTACCCGCAAAGACAACCCTAGTCCTGTCCACACCACAACTTCCCCCACGCAAACTCCGAAGCC